ATTTTCAATTGTTTTTTTGCCTTTAAATGCTCAGAGATTGTTTATAATTTAAAAAAAAATCTCTGAAAAGTGTTGCTGTTAATTCTGAATCATTGGGCCTTCCAGAAGCCTGATTGCTAACTAAATGGGCCTATAACTAACTGGAAGTTGTTGCCGATTCTCTAGGTGACAGGATAAATTCTGACATTCTACAGAGCTGAATACGTAATATTACTGTCACAAATTTATTCGTGAATGAAGCCAAATTCAAAATAATTCATCTTGGACTTTAGAGTGTAGTTCTTAACATGAAATCGAGTATATCAAAATTTATCATATACTACTTACACTCTAAATTGGATAGCGCATAGTTGTCAAAATATCACACAAAATGAAGATGTAAGCACTTTTAAATGTTTAGAGAAAACCTTCTTTAAAAGACCTTTGAGTGCTAGTTCTGTTCATTACAACAAAATCTTGAACCCTAAAAGAATTGGTTGTCCTTTGTAGATGGTAGTAATGTGAGTCAATCTGCATTACCAAGAATAAAGGAGATCGAAGGGAGATTTTTTTTTTTCAGTAAATTGTTAATACGTCAAGAATTGACAGGAGTCATTTCAGTAATTTCTGTCAGAAGAGAGGAAGGAGATACAGTAGGTCATTCTATTTAGGGACTTTTTTTTAACACTAGTCTTCCTGTTTTGCTGAGAAAGAACTCAGATGTTCGTCTATTTTTCTTTGTCATTGAGCAGGAAAAGTTACCAGGAGAAGCAGGTTCTTAAATTATTATTTCATACAGTTTTAGGAAATTCCTCCTGCTGTAAGTGAAGTATCTTGCGTCCCCTACCAAAAGGAAAGCCTATATTTTCACAATGGGCCATCCGTTTAACATTGAGTTGACCTTTCATTTTGTGAATTGATTTCAAGAGAGGCAAGATTTCCTCCTCCCTGGAAGACTGTCCTATTCTAAGCGTCATAATGCACTGAATGATTTTAGTAACTAGCAATGCTTTTCCCACATACATCCACCTCCCCCAAACTTAGGTTCATAGGTTTTTATTTGACTGCTTCTGTTTTTTCCATATAAGAAACCTAAGTAGTTGTCACAAAATATATTTGCTTTCTTTTTTTTATTTTTTATTTTTATTTTTTTTTAAGATTTTTATTGGGGAATTGGGGGATGGCAACAGCGATGGGGAATCGGGGAAGGGGAACAGACAAGTTGCTGTCCT